AGAGAATACATGTATTCAAGTGAGTGCAATAAAAAAAATAGTGTATTAAAATGAATTCAATCTGAAAATAAGTATAAGAAAATAAAATGTGTTAATTTTAAAGGATCAGATCGTAAAACAGGCTAAAATATGAATAAATGGACAAATATATACAATTCAATTGAAAGACTTGAAATGTGGGTCTTCATAACACTTGTGAATGTTTGTTCCTGCAGGTGGTCGACTACCTGACTCAGTACTCCGGCATCAAACCCGGAGATCTGGATGCAAAGATTTCTTCGAAGCATCTGACGACTCTGAAGTCCACGTACCTGAAACTGCGCTTCCTCATCGACACGGGAGTTCGCTTCGTTGGTCACGGCCTACAGAAGGACTTCAGGGTCATCAACCTGCTGGTAAGTTACTCTGTTAATCACGTTTGTTTAGTCGCCTGGTTTACAGGTCGGTGTTTGCTCAACAGCAGAATAAAAACATTTTCTCTTTCACTTTACACTCAATTTTCTCTGTGAGCCGTTAGGACTCAAGTTTCTGTTTCTTTGCTCTTTCAAGGTTCTCAAAGACCAAGTGGTCGACACCGTCTACCTGTTCCATCTGCCCCGCAAGAGGATGATTTCTCTGAGATTCCTCGCCTGGTATTTTCTAGGTCAGTTGAATTCAGGGAAAACGTTGATTAGTGAAGAACTGAAGCAAATAATGAAGCTGCAGTCGTAACGTCCATATTCTTCAAATGTGAAGTCAGCGCCGAGTAACCCACCCCCCTTAATGCACCAAATTACAAATCTGAAATTTTCTAGCCAGAGTTTCGAGGATAAATCAGTGAGTTTATTTAAATATATATTTTGAATATTTAGTACAGATGTCTCCTCACATGTGTCCAAGAATAAAAGAGGATGTATACGGAGCGTTGAGGCGTTAATCCCTGTTAACGCCCAATAATCCTAAACTGATGCTAATCGGCTGCTGTCGGAGTCATGACTCCCCGATCGTCTTCTTTGTCCCGCTCGCAGACCTCAACATCCAGGGCGAAACCCACGACAGCATTGAAGACGCTCGCACCGCTCTGCAGCTCTACAGGAAGTACCTGGAGCTGAGTCGCGGAGGCGGGAACGACGAAGTGAGGAAGGTGCTGAAGGGACTCTACGAGAAAGGTCGCCAGCTCGACTGGAAAGTCCCGGACTCAGACGCAGGAGATGGTCAAGGTAGCCCAAAAAGTACGACGCAATGTTGACTTAGACGTAGCCTGTTGTTAGATGACATCGTGCTGAGTTTAGATGGCAGAGCATCATGGGAAACGTTCCCGTTTGATTGAGGGCACTGTGTTCTCTTCAACAGGTGCTGCTGTGTTTCCCTCTGTGATGGGGCTGTGAGCTGCACCGTTGCTCCTGGACTCAAATCTCCGCTTGATCAGTTCGTGTTTTGTACTTTGCATTTGTTCTCGCAGAGTCCGTGTTGTTCGCTGCAGCTCGGTGACCGCGCAGTTTTTTTAATCAGTCAACATTTGAACTTTTCATTTTTTGTTTTTCAGAAAAAGTAAAATGTGAATTGGATTTCGGAGCCTTTTTAAAAAAAGTTTTCTGGTGAATGTAAATAATTAAACGCATTGTGAGCACCGCAAGATTCTGTTTGACGTCACGTTCCTTGTGTTTGCAGCCAAACTTCCTCCTCAGGACTTCTGAGTCTTAAACAACAGACATGTAACAGAGATGAACTTCACTTCACCTTTTACCTTCCTTCTCTTTAATTAGCGGTATTTTCAGTGTAATGACGCCCTCTGCTGGCTGAGCTTGGGACACAAGTGTTTCCCTTTTTCTAGTGTTGGATTTTAATTGGTGGAAATATGCGACATGCCAGGATCTCTCTAAATTTTGTGGAAACCCAAACTATAGTTTCTGTGTAATCCTGCTGATCCTCCTTTATTTCACCTGTAAGAGAAAGAAACAAAAAAAAAAAAAACTGCACACGTACACAGTCTGTATTGCAAACGGTTTATTCGTAGTAAATGAAAAGTGTGCCATTCAGTGAGAGGGAGAAAGAGAGCGCAGGGGTGTTGGGGACGGCTGATGTCTTTGGTCCATACTCTGGTGGAGGGGACGTCGATGAATCGGTGGGAGACAAGAAAAGGCACTTGAGTTTACAGTTGTCTCAGAGAAACCGTCTGGAGGAGGACACAGGCTCTACTGGAAGAATGAATGGACTAGATGTTTTAACCTCCATTTTGCCTAATATGAATATCACATACAAAATGCCCTATGTGAGCACAAAATTATAAAGCTACATATATGTATATACACAGTAAGGAATCAGAAAGTAAAGGAGGAGAAAATAGAAAAGGAGAAGTGTTGGATTTTTACCCTTTGGAAATGTTGAAAAACGAAGACAAACAGAAAGGCAGCAACTTTTTTCTTAAAAAAAAAAAATAAACGGGACGATTATTTCTTTGGCGATAAACTAATATTCCTACAGTTTGGAATGTGAAACAACAAAAAGTGGTTAAAGCGAGACAGACAAAATCCCAGATGAGGAAACTAAACCGTCTCTCCCTCTGAGTTCTGATTGAGTCCAGCGTCTCCAACAGGAGATCCTCTGGAGTAAAAGCTGAATCGTTTCGAGCGTCCTGCAGCTTCGATCGGTTCACACCGCGGCTCGCCGTCGATTCGCAGAGAAACTGGTCGAGCTCTTTATTCTAGATTTTCAAACAACTTCAGTCAATAAAAATCTCTGTGACATGATAACCTCAGAAAGCACTTAAAGGAGCAGTTCAACTTTTCAGGAAATACACTTTTTCGCTTTCTTACCGAGAGTTGGATCATTGGATCCACCCGAGGGGGAGAAAACATTTGTTCACCTCCTGGTACAAACTGAACTCAAAAGCTGAAATGATTAGTTGATTAAATTGTAGACAGAAAATTTCATTGGCATCAATTTTGATTATTGATTCATCTTGTTTTGTTTTTCACACGTCGATTAACGTGTTGATAATAAATCGATTGGTTTCGACCTCTCGTCTCCGTAGAGGAACAGATTCATCTGGCGTCAGGTTTTCTGAGTCATTTACTTGAAAAAAATGAAAGCAATTTGAAAATACAACTGAAGACCATCACCTGCCGCACTATCAAACTGATTGTCGTTTCGACGTAAACTTCAGTTTCCTCCTGTTTCTGAACCCTGTTTGGACGAGACAATCCCGGAAGCTTATTCTTCATCCCTGAATTTTTTCCTTCAGAAGACAAAGCATAAATTTCATTATCTTTAATTACTTGTTTTCCTTTTTTTTTTTTTTTAAATCTCTAGATAACAAAGTAAAACAGCGTATTTCCCAATTGTTTTCAAATTCCTTTAAGTCAAACTGTCAAACAGCACAAATTTTCCAAAAGCTCCAAACAATTGAGAACTAATTTCCCCAAAATACTCAAGAACATAATCTTTCTTAATAAAAAAAAAAAAAAAAAAAACCTCCCTATGATCAGAAAAGCTGATTAAGAAACAAAAACTGGGAGAAGAAACAAACCAAAAATAAACTTCTTTTCAAAATCTCCCTCTAAAAGTCTGCTGGAGGGAAGACGACACATGAAGGAAACGCAGCTATAACTAACGGACAGTTCGACTCGACAGCCTCTCAGCTCAGCATCGGTTCATAACGACAAGAAAACAAATGGTGGTTCACTCGGGTGGTTCTCGTCTCTTCCTCAGAACCAGCTGCGAGAAAACTGTACAATAACAGGTCGCGTCAAAAGATCAGCAATGAGGTATTCACCAGCCTTTTGTTGGCGATACGAAGAGATTAACCCATCGACGGCCTTGCAGCGTCTAATCGGAAGCGATAGAAAAAAGGTCTGTGAAGTCGATAACAACCTTCCAATGCGCTCGATCGATTCTACTTTCACAGACGAGATAAAGTGAGGATATAAAAAAGAGGAAGAGAAGATCTTGCAACTTACTCTCCGTTTTATCTGCATGCGCCATCTGTTGAAAGAGCCGTCGTGATGCAGACGTTTGTAAAAAGGCAAATGTGAAGTCGCTCTGTGACCAAAGGCAAGCACGTCAGAAAAATGCTGTTTGTGTGCATTTAACAACAACAACAACAAAAAAAAAACTGCGTCTGTGGATGAAAAGCCACGGAACAATGTGGAGAACTAACATGAAGCCGCATGTGGACAGTTTCCTTTGTTGCTAGCTCTTAAACTTATGCTCTCACATAGTTCTACAAAAGGTAACGAGCCCTCGCTTTGTTACGAAACAAATGACAAGCCGAGAGCAGCAGCACGGCACCTCGCCGGTCGGGACGACACGTCGCTGCGAGGAGCAAAGTTACAGGAATCATCGAACGTTTTGGGAAATGTTGTTATTTGCTTTCTGGCCGAGAGTTAGAAGAAAAGGTAACATGAGCGTTCTGTTGTTTACACCAAGGTGAGCTAATTAGCTGCTAGCTGTAGCTTCATACTGAAAGAATATCGATGCCGCTCGTGTCTGAACGTTAACGCTCGGGCCAGAAAGCAAAGGAGCGAATTTCCCAAAATTGTTGGAAACTTTTCCTTTAAGAGTTCACAGAGTTTCCTCTTTTAAGTCCCAGCTTTAACAAATTCCCTAAAGTCGGTAGCAGCCGTAAGAAAAGCTCTGGATTATAGTTTGATATGTCCTCTATGATTTTTTTTTTTTTACTTTGCAGAGATTAACAATAGTCTGTAGTGTTGATCGCAGGTCTACTCTCCTGATCCCTGCTCACGCTAGAACTACTTTTGCACTTTCACGACCACGTCCACGGCGAAGGCATTGAAATGGTTCCGGGAGACAAGAAGAACAAAAAAAAAAAAAAAAAGTTGAGGTGCAAATCAGAGAGCCGACATACGCCACCGCAGAAATAGAAACAGTACTACGAGTCCGACTTCAATAGTGCACAAACCGTTGTGTCGCTGCGTCCGGCAGACGGCTCAAAAGCAAAGAAGATGAAGAACGATCTGTCGATAGCGTCGCGGTGAGAACTCTCAAAGGGGCTAAAGATAGAAGCTACTACCTAAACCAGGATGAGAGAAGAAGAAAGAAAGAGCGACTACACAACAGTGAGAGCGTTTCAAGTTTGAAGGATGAGTGGACTGATGAGAGGTGGCACTAGAGCTCAACTGATGGAAGTATGTAAACTTGTGTTCTATTCTTCATTGAGAGGAGTTAGTATGGTGTGTGCAGGGCGTCGGGGGGGTGGGGGTGGGTGGGTACAGGGAGGAGAGTGCAGGGGTTAGTCGAGGGGTTTGATCGAGACCAGGATTTCCAATGTCAAGGGCAGTGCGTCCGCGGAGGCCTCTGTGGCAGCCCGTTGTGAGACGATCGGTCTTGGTTGTGGGAGGACGAGGAGGGGTGGGCGGGAGCTCTCGAGTTGTTGGAGTGCTGTGAAGGATGAGCGCCATCGCTATGGTAGCGGTGGTTAGCACGACCAGCATTCCTCTCATTGTAAGAACCGCCGTTATACCGCTGACCTCCCGAGTGAAAGCCGTGTCCCTGGAAAGTACGCCTGTTGCCCTGGAAAATCTGGAGGAGAATTAAAGATCAGTCGGCATCTGAGAGTGACTCACGTCTGCATCGCGACATAGACTGAACGACTCGTGCGGCTGACCTGTTTGTTTGGCGGGGGGCGGTTTTCACCGGGGGTGCTTTGGGTCTGGGTGGGGGGAGGAGGAGTTTCCTGGAGACTCGGGCTGGCGACAGAAGAGGACGTGGAGCTGCAACGGGACCGATTTGAGTAACCTGTGCGTGGATGATAAACTGTAAAAGACACAACAAATCTCTCATTACACAACATGACACTGGTTTTATGAAGCAGGATCAACCGAGCGGAAGCTCAAAGAACATGAATCTATCAGTTTAACACATTAAATACAATCAGGGCAGATCCAGGACTCTAACTTTAACTTTGTGACGTGTCGGTGACAAAGGAGAGGAACAGGATTCTGTACCTGATCCAAACCCTGAGATGCTCGTCTTCAGCGGCTCCAGATCAAATGTAAATCTTACTGCTTTCCCAAGGTCCTCATCGTATTTACGCTCACTCACAAAGTGCTGCAAGAACACAAAACACACCACCACTTATATTAACTTGATTATGTTACGCATTCTATATTTTAAGTCGCTGCTTTCTTTCACTCATTTAATCGATTTCTGTTCCTGCTTGAAAAAGATGTTTTTCTCTGTGACACAAAGTACGAAGGCAAACACTGTGAGACGAGAGAAACTGGAGCAGCAGTATTTACCTTGATGTCTGCGCGCAGTTCAGTCAACTGCTCCTCAGACATGGACGCTGACTTGTCCGTCAGCCGTCTGAGCTGCTCTGCTCTCTTCTGCCGAGCGTCCAGAATCACCACTGAAGCACAGAAACAGAAAGTGATCTTTAACTGACGTCAAGCTCGTTTTTTTTTTTACTTTTGTTCTATGAAACGAACAAAAAACATTCCAGACTTTTTTTTTTTTCTTCCTGTTTGACAGAACGACAAGAATTCAGACAGTTTGTCCAATTAGGGACTAGATCATAAAAAAATGTTGTCTTCTACATCGGCCAGCTGTAAAACTCACAGTCCCACTCTGACCGTTGATGCTCGTCACCAATTTATCTGCGTGAGAACACAAATGTTTCCAACACAAGATCAAGAATTAAAACGTTACTTCCTGCATTCTCTACCTTGACGCCACCCCTCCCCCTGAACGCTCGAGAGACTTCCCTGTTATAATGAACACGTCTGACCCTGAGAATCTCCTGTGTGGAGTCCAGATACTATCCAGACTCAATTGTCAGGATATTTCCACAGTTCATGTCGGAAAATGATTCTGTTGATCAATTAACTAATAAATCGAATTGTCCGTTTCAGCTCTACTTGTTTTGTCCAACAGCTGAAAACCCAAAGATTCACACGCTCATTTCTGAGAAGCTGGAAGACTGTGAGGCATTTATTCTTTAAAAGTGACTTCAATCTATTCGTTTTAATTGTATAATACATTTTTCCAATCAACTAATAGGATAATTAATTAACTGTTCCAGCCTTAACAGAAATATTCCTCTCAGTCCCGATAACCTTCAGTATTCAGCGCTATTCTGACATGAGACGAACAAAGTGCAGCTGACGCAGCGTCTGTAGGTAAACATGGTTCGAAGATAAAGCGTTCGTCACATCAAGATCCCACGTGTGTGCTGATGTGAAGTCACGGAGTCACTGACACATGTGTCATTACTCACTGAACATATTTCTTTACATGTTTGAAATGTTTTACTTTTGTTCCCGTGATAGTTTCCTTCTGCAAACAGCCTTGAACACTTTGCCCTGAGGACGACTCGTCTACGACAGTATCTATACAGTAAGTTCAAGAGCAGCGTGTGTGTGAGTCTCATGGAAACACCACACCCCCTGTCGCTATGTTGCCTTCTGATCTGCTAGAGAAAAATAACATCTTCTGCAAAGGGCGTCTCCGTGTATGATGCTGAACGTCGGAGCAGAGGATCAACAATCTGCTTTTGATCCAATGAAACTGTCACAGATCTTGTGGCTGAGCTGCAAATATGAGAAATGTCATCACATCAACAGCTTTTTATTCTCAAGCAATAAAGTTCAGATGTTGTCTGGTTGCAACTTCTCACTCTCTCACTACTTGATCGGAAAGATTTTCCGCTTTTTAATTGTGTAACAATAAAATGAATTCTTTGGGCTGTTTAGTTTAACAAAATGTGGAGCGCTCAACTTGGACTTCAGTAAATTGTGATGGAGTGATGAGGTGATTTATTGAGAAAATGATCATCTATCATGATTATCGTTTCAGCCCTGAGCAGTGGCAGCTAAAGTATGAACGTTACCACAGTAAGGGTGAATAAGGATCAGTATTTTCTGTGCTATGTAACTTTTCTTTAAATAAAAAATTAAAAGTGGATTCTGTGTGTTAATCAGTGAAACCTTTTCCTCTGTGACAGTTGTAGAGTTTCAGGAAACACGTCAGTTTGCATAAACGAAGCACAGGGAGCAGATTAAGGGAAGTTAAAGCTCTGGGGAAATCGGGCTTTTGTGATGTGGAAGTATTCGAATTTCTCCTCTTTCCTCTCAACTCCCTGCACACCTTGCACAAAGACAGCATTGAGTCTCCCTTGACACCTGACACTATTCACTTTTTCCAGGCCTGGAACACACAACACTCGACACTGGGAGGACAGAGGAAGAGAGAATGGCCTACTTGTACAAATATGCAGTCTTGCTCTGTCATGTTACACACACACACACACACAC